AATGAGACTGGCATGGTGGTACGTGGCTGTAGTCCCAGCTACTTGGGAGGCTGAGGCAGTGAGCCGTGATCGTGCTATTGCATTCCAGCCTGAGCGAAAAAGCAAGATCCTGTCTCAAAAAGAAAGAAGTATGAGGTTGGAGTCTTTCATTGCTTCATGGCTCTTGCCAATGTCTTTAGAATCAGAGCCATAAAGCACAGCACTTTGAGTTGTTAGCAGTTATTGGCAGCTGGTTCAGAGAGGAAGGAAAGTTCCCTGGAAGAAGTGTTTCTGAGTGTGAGGGGCTCCCTGAGCAGGCTGTTTGTACTTTTTTATTTTTTTGAGACGGAGTCTCGCTCTGTCGCCCAGGCTGGAGCGCAATGGCGCAATCTCAGCTCACTGCAATCTCTGCCTCCTGGGTTCAAGTGATTCTCCTGCCTCAGCCTCCCAAGTAGCTGGAATTACAGGTGCCCACCACCACACCCGGCTAATTTTTGTATTTTTGGTAGAGATAGGGTTTCTCCATGTCGGCCAGGCTGGTCTAGAATTCCTGACCTCAGGTGATCCACCCGCCTCAACCTCCCAAAGTGCTGGGATTACAGGTGTGAGCCACTGCACCCAGCCAATTTGTGATCTAATTTGAGGTGAGTGCATTTCCCTACTCTGTGAGAGCTGAAGGCCTTAGAGTGAATTTCCCCGGAGCTGGGGTGTAGGAGCCTCAGTGAAGCCACAGCCCACACATGACCCAGGGGGCTGTTCCTCCCTAATGGGGAGGATGAGGAGGACAATGGTGGAAATATCCGGTGCAGGGAAGCAAGGCACTTGTGTGTTGTCTTTCGAATGGATGCGTTTTCCACACGAACTCCAGCTTGCGTGATGAGCATTCCTTCTGAGAACTCGCCTTCCTTTTTCTCCCCATGTGGAATGGAGAGAAAGGAGCGAGGGACTCAAGAAGATTCTGAGACCCCAACGGAGACCCGGCTTGTCTGATGCTGAAGCAACAGCATCTCCGCGGGATCACCTGTTCTGGAGGGTTGGTGTGGCCGCACCAAGCATGACAAAGGAAACATGTCTCCTTGGGAAGCTTAGATGGACTCTTTGACCTCCAGAGAGAATTAAAGGACCAAAGCCATCAAGCCTAGCAAATCCAATGAAGGCTGTGTTTTGAATTCAAATGACCACAAATGCTTATATGATTCTAAGAGATTCCAAAGGCATCTAAGGAAAAAAAAATTAAGATCAAGCCAAAACTCGCAACACTTTGATGTGATAAGCCTTTAAGAAAAGTTTTTCAGACTTGGGACAATGCTGGGACAGAGTAGATGCTCAATAAATACATATTGATGAGGAAACGGGAGAAAATAAAAGCACAATCCTACAGCCCCCGCTCACAAGCTCCAGTCTGTCCCTTACACACTACATTGTTAGAAAATTTTCATCTATAGAGGATGAATGCTTTTCTATTTGGAAAAGGTCCCAGATGAGAGGAAAAAAATTCATTACTCAGTACAGTTATCAAAC